AATCTGTTCTCAATTGGCAGAATTATGAATATAGCCCTTTTTCAGTGTAGTAGCATGAAAATACTTCGAATCTACAAATTCTAGCTCTACATCGAATAAAGTACTATGATATTCCAGTCCAAACATTAATTGGAGCAAGTGCCATGTGCTCATAGTAGAAATAAGAAGACCCAATAGCATCTTCTGGAAGTGTTCTTTGAGTTATCTGATCTGGTTTGGTATGAACCCTAAAAACTAATCATTGGATTTGAAAGATGAATGTGCTCATAGTAGAAATAAGAAGACTCAATAGCATCTTCTGGAAGTGTTCTTTGAGTTGTCTGATCTGGTTCGGTAAGAACCACAGAACCAATCATTGGAATTAAAAGATGAACTGCATGATCGTCTTCATTGAGAAGCTTCTTTTCAAGCTTCTTCTGCTTATTCCTTTCCCAAAAATCATAGCCCAAGTTTCGCCTTTTCTTGTAATTGGGATCATTGCATAATGGCTTTCTATCTTTTACCGGAAGAAGTATGTCAACAGCCTTAGCCATATGAGCAACACATATAAAATCTGTCAATTTTGTAATTGATGAATCTGAACCACATCTCTTTATGGCTATTGAAGCCTCAGCCTCTGAGAATCCCATTTCTTTTTAAGTATAACAGTTTACTCTCCTCATCAGAATCAGAATTCAAGATTTTCTCGGTATTAAAAGAACTATCGATATCTGCGAAATCATCTTGAAAGATCACTTCATAATCAGATGAGTTGTTATCAGAATCAACATGTTGCATGAGTGCGAGCTTTTCAAGAATCTATACTATTGAGTTTTATCCTCAAGTGGTTTGGTGACATTATGCAAAAATTCAGGAATATCTATATCTACATTTATCAAAGATGATAGATTCTCTGATTTGAAGAAGAAAGATTTATTGGGTTTCTACAACTGAAGAAATACTCAATTCACCAATCTGAAATCAAATAACTTAACATTCATGCATCATATTTAGGCATTTGCAAAAATATGGCCATTTTCATTTATTCTCATCCATGTTGAATTTTGAAAGGAATTTTAAAGATTTTAGCAAAGATTCAAATCCATCATTTGATGGATCAGCTTTTCCAGAAAAAGTTCATAATAAGAAGAATTCATCTGAAGAAGGCAGAAAAAGTTCATAATGAGAAAAACTTGTTCAACTTTTTGCTTAAATCCATCATTCGGTGGATCAACATTTCCAGTTCGAGTTCAAAATGAAAAGAACTCATCTGAAGAATGAAGAAGAAGTTCATAATGAGAAGAACTTGTTCAACTTTTTGCTTAAATTCATCATTCGGTGGATCAACATTTCCAGTTCGAGTTCATAATAAGAAGAACTCATCTGAAGAAGGAAGAAGAAGTTCATAATGAGAAGAACTTACTCAACTTTTTGCTTGAATTCATGATTCAATGGATCAACATTACCAGTTAGAGTTCATAATGAGAAGAAATCATCTAAAGAAGGAAGAAGAAGTTCATAATGAGAAGAACTTGTTCAACTTTTTGCTTGAATTCATCATTCAATGGATCAACATTACCAGTTCGAGTTCATAATAAGAAGAACTCATCTAAAGAAGGAAGAAGAAGTTCATAATGAGAAGAATTTGTGCAACCTTTTGTTTAAAATTCATCAATTTGATGGATTAACATTGCCAGGTATAGTTCATAATGAGAAGAACTCGTCATCTGAAGAAGAAGAAATTCATAATGGGAAGAATTTGTTCAACCTTTTGCTCAAATCCATCACTTGATGGATCAGCTTTTCCAGAGAAAGTTCATAATGAGAAAAACTCATCTGAAAAAGAAGAAGTTCACAATGAGAAGAGCTTGTTCAACCTTTTACATAATTTTATCACAGAAGAAGATATATTAGCATCAACCTTTCCAGAGAAAGTTCATAATGAGAAGAACTCATCTGAAAAAGAAAGAAAAAATTCATAATGAGAAGAGCTTATTCAACCTTTTGAATGACTCTATCACATAAGGAAATAGGTCAACATCATCCCCAGCGAAAAGTTCATAATGAGAAGAACTCATCTGAAGAAAGAGAAGAATTTATTCAACATCTCCATCATAATCAAGTGAAGCCAAATGGATAAAAAAAATTATTATCTTTTCGTCTTTGCCCTATTCTTATTAACACAAGAATGAGCAAAGAGTGGCAGCTGAAGATACTAACTTTTTTACCCTTTTTTATTTATTATTATTATTATAATTATTATTATTATTATAATTATTATTATAATATATATTATTATTATTATTAAAAAATAATAGTTACAAGCCCAAATCCCAAGCCCAACCAGAATCGGCCCAAACCCAAAAGGAAACCCTAAACATTTGTAGTTTCAGCTAGGGTTTCTAAACCCTAGCTCTAGCCGCCGCCTCAATCTCAGCTGTTGGATCTGAGAGATCCAACGGCCCACACTCCTCCAGATGCAAACCCTAGGGTATGATACCCTAGGGCCATGCGGTCGCCGCAGCTGCTCCCACCATCTCCACCGCTGCCACGTCTCGTCGAAGGCTTCCAGAAGAGCCACTCCAGCCGCACACGTCTCCTCCAAACGGTGAGTCACCATTGGAAGTCCGGTGACTCACCGAAGAACCCCTTTTGGACCGGTCCGAAGCTATCACCGGTGGTGGCTATAAAAGCCACCGAGCCCCCTGCCAACAAAAGAGAGAGAGGAAGAACGGAGAACAAAAAAAAAACCCAACAGAAAAGGAGCAACCAACAGCAAACCCAAAGCAGAGCAAACCCACAACACAGCAACCAAAAACAAAAGAAAAGAAAGGAGAGAAGCTTACCGAGGAAGCCACGACCACTGGACCTCTTCAAATATCACCAAAACCTTCGAAAATCGAAGGTACTTTCTTAGATTTGCTCCGATCGGGAGCTATTTAAGAGAAAAGAACACCGGAACCGTCATTAGGATGGTCCGATCTACGTTTTAGAGTTAAAAAAAAATTTCGGCCACTGAAGGCGGTGGCCGGCGGCGGGGTCAACGCCGGCGAACGGCTGCCGGCCGGTGTGCTTCTCTCTGATTTAGAGAGAAGCGAGAGAATTTTGAATTCTCTCAGAGAAGAGAGTGAGAGGGAAGAAAGGAAATGAGAGCTGGCCCTTCGGGCCAGCCGGTTTTGGGCTTTAAATAGCCCTTCCCGAACGACGTCGTTTCGGGGAGGGCTATTTGTGTAATTAACTAAGGGTTAAATCCCGTCCGCAGTCCTTTAACTTGTAATTCTTACATTTTAGTCACTAAATTAAATTTATAATCCTTTTAATTTGGTCTCTAAATTTTATTTATTTATATTTTTGCCCTTAACCGTAATTATAAATATTTTAGATAAATTACTGATTTAATCCTTTAATTTTAATAAATAATATTTTAATCCTGAGTATATATTTTTAATTTATTTTAATCTGATATTCGAATTTTATATAATTACATTTTAGTCACCAAATTAATAAATAAGGAAAATGGCATGTTTAATCCCTATAATTTTAAATAATTAATTATGAATTAGGTATTTAATTTTAATTTTATTATAATTTAGTCACTAATTTTAAATAGTTTCATTTATTTTACTGCTTTTAAATATATAGTTCTAATTGTATTTTTATTGTTTTAATTTTACTTGTTTATATATATTTAAATATTATTTTTATTATTATTATATAGTCATATAAATATATATATAATAAATAATAATTTATATTTTTTTACATAAATTATTTTTATCATATTTTAATATTTATTTTTCAATATCGAAGAAAAGGGCAGTCTTAATACAACTGGATGTCCTATTCTGGTATTTTAAAATTAAATATTATAAAAAATTATAATTTAATTTTATTTAAATTATTAAATTAATATTTATTAATATTGAAGAAAAGAGCTGTCTTAAGGCACCTAGAAGTCCTTTTCTGATATTTCTAAATAAATAAATATTTTATTTATAAATATATATAAATTATTTTTTTCTTTTTTCTCATAATTATAATTTTGAAATAATAGGATTATAAATTAAATATATTTTGAATTTTTAAATTTCTAATAATAGAGACAATTTATAATTAAAAAGTACCAATTTTGGGCATTGTAGGGGTGCTAATCCTTCCCTAAACGTAACTGATCATGAATCCCTTTTTATCATTAAAAAGAATGAATTTTTTGGTTAAAACGCATATCAGTTTATCTTTTAATTGATGTTTTCTTAAAAACTCTTTTAAAAGATTTTTTTTAGGTATTCGACCTACCTAACCCAAAAGGCCGATGGCGACTCTCAAATTATTTTCAAAACCATTTATTCACATCACTTTTCCCGCCAAATAAATATTTTGTGTCCGGACGAAAACCGGTTGCGACAGCTACCATATGAGCAATTTACAATTGTATGAGATTCCTTGATTGGGTATTCAGCAATTCATCCAGTGGTGAGAACAGATAAGATAATATAAAAATTATATTAATAACATTTCGTTAAATTTGCAGGTAATTCATTATTTTTGTTATTATCACATACCAATTAGTAATATACTAAAAGAAAAAAAAATAGATTTAGGATATTCACTATTTTCAATTTATCAAATTATTATCGAGTTTGATTGTTTCAATATTATATTACTATTTTTTAATTATTTATCAATGTCAAATTAGAATATAATAAAAATAAAGTTATTTTATCGAATTAAAAAGTTTCTCAAATCATATAGATTGACACTCATTACTAAATTATTTATGTATATTTTATACGTTACGCGTTTAGTTTTTTTTCATTTTAAGGAAATTTTTAAGTATAATTACGTATATATTTCATTCTTAATTTGAAAATAGTCTGAAATTCCATTGAGTTCATAATCATCCAATATTACAGAATCCGGTGAACCGGGAAGCACACGGGACACAATATGCAGATAGTATGTTATCAAACCAACATGAAGACGATATAACACTAGTAGATATTATCCCAAATCAGTTAGTATCTCCTGCTTCGACGCGGGATGAGTGACCTTAGCCGGAAACTTTAAGCATCTGCAACTTAGAAACCATGGATTTTGATGTTTTCCTTCTTCACAATGCCGGCCTGGTAAGAAAAACGAAGATGATGACATTTAGGAACTTGGAACTCCACACTGCACCGGTTTGCTCAACGACACCTAAGAAATCTAACATTCCATGAACCAATAACAATTACCTGAACAAGGAAGGTAGATACGTTCTTACGCTGGTCGCCTTGAAGTTGAATAACCTGACCATAAATGGAAAATGTAACAAAATCGATCATTGGGGACCAACAATGGATTTCGATGTTGATAATTGCTTAAAAGGGTGACAGTTACACACACCTGGCCTAATTCAGGGTCCTGAACCACAGTGCCATTGCAGCAAAACTCCTTCTTGAGGTCTTTGAGTATCTTGTTGTAGCTGAATTCTTTCTTCAACCCCTGTACAGTTGTCAGGCTTTTCCGACCATTCCGCTGCTGAATACGAATGTGCACGTAGTCCTTTGCGACGGCACCCGAGTCCTCAGCATTTGCATCAGCAAAGGGATCTACCACAACAAACATAAAAGACGAGTTAAACCCAGATTATCGATGACAATGAAAAAAATAGTGTATTCGAGTAAGTTATGATCCAGACATACCAAAGGCACTAGGAATTTGGACCACGTCGGGATCAGACATGAAACTTAGTTGATCAAAGAGGCCTGACAACCACAAGCTCGAACCTAAAGAAGTAAAGAAATAACCACATCGAAATTCGACTTTATATCTCATATCACCAAAGAGAAACAAGCAATATTTAGCCATCACAAAACATATTTTCTTAGCTACCTCCTCTTCTTAAAAACCATTGTAATTAATCCTGACCAGCACATTATCAAACCAGACAATAACTTTAATTTGAGATAAATATCAAAACTACACCTGAACATTGTTTGGTAGTCGTGCAATGTTACACATGAACTTCAATTTTGTGAAAATTAAACAAATTAAAGCTTGATATGCAAAATTGCAGAAATGTTCATGTATAGTTTTGATATTTATGCCTAAGAATTTTATTATTTTTCAAACTCATCTAATTACAAACAAGGATGAACAAAAAAATTCCCAGAAAATCAGAAAAAAGATAACCTGCAATCACAAATTTGCTTCCTTTCTTTCAGGCAAAACAAATTCTTCTCTAATTTAAATTGAATATTAAGAATTGATACACCAATTATTGATTATATAGACAAAGCCAACGATCAGAAAAGTCTTATCAACAAATGGACGATAAAAAGATTGATCTTTAACCCACAAAAGCATTATAAAAAGAAACATTTGGAGGATAAATTGAAGAAGCTTAGGAGAAAAGTTACCAGATCCAAGGATTTTAGGGATTTTCTGGCGAAATGTGATTTGGGTTATTAGAGTGAACAAAAAGGAGAAGAATTAAACCTGAAAATCGGGTCCACGATGTTTTTTCGTGTTGGGTGGAGAGGAAATTGAAAGGAAATAACTTACTAATTAAAAGAATCATTTTATTATGGAATTTCCGGAAGAGGATGAGACGTGTGGTGTTAATGATTAGGGTAATGGAGTCGTTAAAATGAAAGGGAAGGAGTAGAATTTTTCACAAGAAATTGAGGGTAAACAACACCAGTAGTCCCTTTTTTTGGTCGTTTTTGACATTTTTAGGTGATTTTTCGTTCGAAAATATTATTGTTGTTGTCATCTTTATTTAAGTATTAACAATGCACACACATACTTGATGTAATTGCTCAAAACCATGATATTTAAGGAGAATAACATTTTCTTTAATTACTAAGTTCACTTGATAGGTTCATATCTATTGAATATTCTAATACGATGCATATTTGAATTACTCAATTTATTTTTAATAATCCTATAAAGTAAGGCAAAAAAATATGAGTATTTTTCTATTCATTCATTGATGCTAATCCCATCAACTAGTTGCAACTTGAATGAAAAGAAATATCTCATTTCCATCAACTAGAATGTTGAATGCATGGGATCCATGCACGAAACGTAGCAAAAAAGGATTAAGTTTTAAGCAAGATTAACAAGACAAAACAATACTCCTATATTACAACAAACATAGTAATTAATTCATTAATCCTGCCGTCTAGGCTAACACCAATCAATTTCCACAGACTACAAATCAAAGTTGAGCAAAATCTCAGAATGTATTTCACTGGCTTGTCGAGTATCTTGTGTTCCAATACTTCTCAATTTCCTCAGCTGTTCTTCCAGGAATTCTCCCAGCAATCAGACTCCACCTGATACATCTCAACGTATTATATTCACATACAAATTGTTAAGATAAACTAATACACGGAAGATTTACCTTTCTCCAACCAAATTAAACATCCTGATTATCAGCGTTTCCTCATCATCTGAGAACTCCAGTTCAGAATCTTGTTTATTGTGCTCATCTGGGGAAAAGAAGTAATGATGCAGAAGAAAATCTCAACAGTAAATAAAAAAACATGGCCTAGGTTTCTTACCTATGGTGTCAATGGATGCATTTTCACTAGAAGAATGTTCTGATTCAGCCATTTATTAATTCCAGTCAAAGAAGTTGGAGCAGAAGAGAATGTATGAGTTTGGGTATGTTAAGAAGGTCATTTAAATACTGTCTCCAGTTCAGATGTGACTAAAGAGAAAGAAAAAAAAAACATTCTCCTATATGTTAGTTGGGAAAAATAGAATGTTAGTTGGGCAAATAGAATATGGAGTTTGGTGATGGTATATGTTAGGTGGAAATGTAATGTTAAATTACTGATAAAGTTTTTTGGACCAACACATACACTTTAAGCTCAAAGGTTGTACATCCGGAAAGATTGAAGGGTTTATAAATATTTTCATCTGCAGTTCATCTGCAATCTTCTGCAGATTCTACTCTGATGATGCTCTTGGTGATTTATGTCTTAATTATTGTCAAAAATACTTTTGAATATTCAATCAAATGAATCAATCCGGAACTTTATTTTCACAGCAAATCGAGTTGATTAAACTTTTGATTCGAGTCTCATTTGACACTTACCCATTAAACTTAAAAGTATAGACCTGGAAATCAACACCCAAGGCTTGAAATTCTAAAGATGAACAAAACAGAAGGATTATTTTGTTGGGGGTACCAGAAATGTAGTGTGGTACTAATAAAAGTATGCATCAGGACTCAGGGTTGAGGACCCACCATCACAAGCATGCTTGCATTGCAGAAAAAAAGTTGTTTTCCTTTTTTGGGGGAAAAAAAGTGAGTAGCTCACATGACATCATTCTGTATATGATAGACATATGCTACCTGTATTTATTTAATTTTGTTATAACCCAACAAAAAAGGATTCATTACACTAATGTTTATTAAATTTGTAGGTACTTTCCACTTTAGTAAGTGAAATTGAAAACTTTCATCTCAATCATCATTGCTAAAGAATACTTCCATTTAGGTCCTTATATCGTTATTCATTAAATCACTAATTGCATCTGGGTTGGCACAGTTGTATATCATTATTTTTAAATAAATATATGCCCACTCTTAACGGGAATAAGTTGGGTCCGTCAATCGTAGACGATTCACTCTTTTTAATTTGAGTGAAGAGTCACAGTCGATGAGAGAACGTCGATCGCAGGTAGCGATGGGCATGGGTCGGGTTTTTGGTTCACCCGACTTGACCCGAGAACAAGGGAGCCTCCACCCAAAACCCGACCCGACCAAAACAAGATTTCACCCGACCCGACCTGAATATATGACTTAAAAACCCAACCCGACCCGAAATAATAAAAAAATTATTTTTATTCAATAAAAACAGTGATTTAATTGAAAAAATTATATATATTGGGGTATTATTGTAATTATTCCTAAACATATAAGGTAAAATTATATATTTTTCGGGTCGGATATTTTTCACCCTAAACCCGAACCCGACCCGACCTGAACTCGATTTTTTTAAAAAAAAACCGACCCGATCAGGTCGGGTTCGGGTTGAGTGCGCATCCCTAATCGCAGGCTGTTGTTCTTGAATAAAAGAAAAGCGTTCATGAGAAAGAAAATGAGATGAGGAAGATACAAAGGCGACGTACAAAGGCGACGTGGGTAGAAGGGGTTCTAGACCCCTTTAATCGTGTTAAGAGATATTTATAGGGGTCTTTAGTGCGTGTGTTAGTTGTAGGGACATCATATCTATTTGCATATCAATAGGCTAGGTGGATATTGTTCTTAGATTTTGGATTTTGTTCTAACAAACCACGTGATTTAGAGATCTTATTTTAAGTCTTGTTTGTGCACAATAATCGTCGGACCTTGACGGAAGCTAGGTGATCTCCAAAAACTATCTTTAAAGATATAACACCCTCTAATAAGATATGACACATGTGACCATCAAATCACTATAAAAATGAGATAAATGATGTTATTGTATAAAAGGGAAGTGTTCGTGAGGAAGAAAAAGATAAGATATACAGAGGTGAAGTGGGTAGAAGGGGTTCCACCCACTGTAGCCGTGTTAAGAGGATATTCATAGTGTCTTGAGAGCGTGTGTCAGTCGTAAGATCATCATAATTATTTGTAGATTGACAAATTCAACAATCTGATACTTAAATTTTAGATTTTGTTCAGACACGTTATGTGGGCCTATCAGAGATCTTATCTAGGTATTGTCTATACATAATAATAATCACACATTAACATAAGCTAGAAGATCTCAAAAAATCATCTTTAGAAATATAAAACCCTCTAATAAGATATCACACGTGTGACCATAGAATTGCTATAAAGAATGAGATAAACGTTGTTTGTTGAAAGAAAATCAAACTCGAGACACCTGCTAAGGTGTCGAGCGTACGAGCACGAAATTACTTTAGGAGAAAATATAAATCAACTCAAAACCTTACATGCTTACAGGTCTCAACAAAGCAAAGCAGTTTACATACACCAGACGAAAAGAAAATCCGTCCTTTCTGCATGCCACAATTAAACAACGTTTTACTTCCACCATTCCACGTATTCGCCCTGCAGAGGGAGGGACACTGGTCTTGTAGAGATTATTGGTAACGCTTTAGGCTCATTGTTGATGACCTCAAAAACAAATATCTCACCCTATAAATTTGAGAAACATGCAAGGTGCTGGCAACAACTATAAATATAACAGTAATCAACTAATATTATTAGATTACATAATGATCCTTATCTGTATTCTCATGGTAAATAAATATAAGCGTCAATTAATAGATTTGGTCTTGATAAATCTTTTGAGTTCGTCAATGATCTTATCAAGAGGTGATGGTCGGCCAAAAGGAATATCAATAGAGCTGGCTAGTGCATCCGAAGATTCCATTAGGTGAAGTAGTAATTTGCAGAAGAACAAATTTCGAAGGTATAACAATTACTAATATTTAACAAACAATAAACATATCATTACATTCTATATACAATTCACGTTAATCACACGTATGAAATTTCAAGTAAACTTTTTTTCTTATCATTACATTTCTGCATACATGATACATGAGAGAGGAAGGGAGAGAGCCATAAGAACAACAGATCACAATAAGGCACTTGCATAACCAGACGAACAAAAATGTCCATTTTTGCATGCCAAAATTAAACTACGTGTTACTTCCACCATTCCACGTATTCGCCATGCAGGTGTTCAAAATCGCCTATAAATTGCCATCACTCCCCTCCCTGTGTTTCTCACCATCAAAACCTATAACCAAATATATCCCACTTACCTGTAAATTCAACAATGGCAAAGCTCGCAGTCTACTTAGCCACCTTCGTCCTCGTTTTGTTCATCGCCCATGCTTCGATCACAACTGTGACGGTCAACGAGGACGGAAGCACATGGAGGCCGTCTAGGCAATCACAGAGCAGATGTCAAGAGCAGATAAGGGAGCAAGACCATCTCCAGGACTGCCAGAAATATATGGAGGAACAGTGTGGTGGTGGTAGAAGCAGGCTCAATAGACAATGCAGCGGGTACCTTGACTCTTGCTGCTGGCAGCTCGAGAAGATGGATAACCAATGCCGATGCCCCGGTCTAAAACATGCCGCGATGCAACAAATGAAAGGGCAAATGGAAACAGAAGAGATGCAAGAGTTGTACGAGGCTGCTGAGAAAATTATGTCTAAATGTGATAAGGAGCCTAGGAGGTGTGATTTCCATCTCGCGACAGGGTCTGAAGGACCAAATCCGCAGCTAAATTGCTGAAGAATAAATGTTAAATGTCTCCCCGACTATGGGGTGACTAGCTTTTCTTATAATAAAGCTCATCATCGTGGGCACTTTTGTTAAATGTTTATGAAAAAATTTCTGATCTGGTTTAATATCTCTCTTTGCAACCTTAATTTTGGTTAAAGAACAATAACTTGCCTATGATTATATATTGAATTACAAACACAAATTACAAGAACATGAAAGTAAATGTACTAAAGAAGGGGAATTTTAGAGCAATATCAAGCTTTATTTAATATGGTAACTGAAATGTAGTTATCTAACCACTTCGAACACCAACAAAAGATAAGGTCTTAAAAAGACGTCTAATAGAGGGTTTTGCTACTTCAACGGCAGAACGCATATCATTTAGAGATGATGATAAACCTTTTACCATGACAAACAGAATAAACTGAGAACTTATACCTTAATGAACTGATCTGAATTTTTTTCTGATATAGGTGGCATTGATATAGGTGAAACACTTTTGTGCTAGCTGGAATGACTTCATTGTTAGCCTGCTCAATCTACTTGGTGGCAGCTTCATTTTCTTCTAAACTAGTCTGGACGAGAAACCAAATCCACCAAGTTGAACTCTGGATTTTAGCATTCAAAGATGAAAGTTATGTTAATGATACGCTGAACTTGACACATTATTGTCAGTAGTAAGAAACAATTCTGAAACAAAGATCACAACCGAGAATAAGTAGAAAAAGCAACCATTTTGGTAATAATGCATGTGCATCAAATTTGTCACCAGTGCTTGATTTAGTGAAGAATAGATGCTAACAAAGTTCAAACTTTTGGAGCTCTTTCTTTCTGAAATATTTAGACTACGTTAAGTTCTCATATTAAAGTCGGAACAAACTGTTTTTCTTTGATTAAAGTTCTCATGGTACAAAGAGAGACAATGTCAATAGATAGAGACTAACAGCCCCAAATTAGAAGTTTCTGCAATTACTATGACATGCTTCAGCTGGCCCAATATAAAGAAAATTAACTCAAAACCATATCCATTCAGATGTGAACAAGTCTGCATACATGAGAGAGAAAGGGAGAGCGCCAGAACTGCAGATCACAGTAAGGCATTTGCATAACCAAACGAACAAAATCTGTCCATTTCTGCATGCCAAAATTAAACAACCTGTTACTTCCACCATTCCACGTATTCTCCGTGCAAAGGCTCAAGCTCTCCTAGAAATTGCCATCACTCCCCACCCTGTTTCTCAAAATCAAAACCTATAACCAAATATATCCCACTTACCTGTATATCAACAATGGCAAAGCTTACAGTACTTGGCCACCTTCGCCCTCATTTGTTAGTCGCCCATGCTTCCATCACAACTTTGACAGTTGACGAGGAGGAAAACAAATGGAGGCCATCTAGGCAAAATCACAGAGCAGCTGCCAAGAGCAGATAAGAGAGCAAGACCATCTTAAGGACTGCAAGAGTTACATGGATGAACAGTGCATAGTTTTGTTAGTCGCCCATGCTTCCATCACAACTGTGACAGTTGACGAGGAGGAAAACACATGGAGTCCATCTAGGCAATCACAGAGCAGCTGCCAAGAGCAGATAAGAGAGCAAGACCATCTTAAGGACTGCAAGAGATACATGGATGAACAGTGCATAGACAATGCAGCAGGCACCTTGACTAATGTTGCTGGCAAATAGAGAAGCTGGATAACCAATGCAGAAGCCCCAGTCTACAACACGCGGCAACGCAACAGATGAAAGGACAGATGGGAAGAGAAGAGATGCAAGAGTTGTATGAGGCCGCTGAGAAAATTATGTCTAAATGTTATATGGAGCCTGGGTATCATTTTCCATCTCGCTACGGTCTCTAAAGAACCATCGCCACATCTAAAATGCTGAAGGATAAATGTTAAATGTCTCCCCAACTATGGGTTGACTAGCTTTCTTGTAATAAAGCACATCATCGAGTGTACCTTTGCTAAATGTTTATGAAAAAGTTTCTGATCTGGTTTAATTTTGGTTAAAGAACAATAACTTGCCCAGCAGGATTATATATTGAACTCTAAACACAAATTACAAGAACATGAAAGTAAACGCGCAGAACGGGAATTTTAGAGCAATGCCAAGCTTTATTTTAATATAGTAACTGAGATGTGGTTTATCAAAACCACTTCAAACATCACAAACCAACAAAACATAAGGTCTTAAAAGAGACATCGAATTCCACCAACGGCAGAACACATAAAAGTTCGAAGGCATATTATATTAGACATCAAAGGCAGTTCAGTACCAGAACCCAAATCAGTAACCACCACGGAGGCGAAGGACAAGGTGCAGAGTGGACTCCTTCTGGATGTTATAATCAGCAAGAGTTCGACCATCCTCCAACTGCTTCCCAGCAAAGATCAACCTCTGCTGATCTGGGGGAATCCCCTCCTTGTCCTGGATCTTTGCTTTCACATTGTCAATTGTGTCCGAGCTCTCAACCTCCAGGGTGATGGTTTTTCCAGTCAAGGTCTTGACAAATATCTGCATCCCTCCTCTAAGGCGCAAGACCAAATGTAGGGTTGACTCCTTCTGAATGTTATAGTCAGCAAGAGTCCTCCCGTCCTCAAGCTGCTTTCCGGCAAAGATCAACCTCTGCTGGTCAGGTGGGATTCCCTCCTTATCCTGGATTTTGGCCTTAACGTTATCAATTGTGTCAGAGCTCTCCACCTCCAATGTAATGGTCTTACCGGTCAAGGTTTTCACAAAAATCTGCATCCCACCCCGCAGACGGAGGACCAAGTGGAGGGTTGACTCTTTCTGAATATTATAATCAGCAAGTGTCCTACCATCCTCCAGCTGCTTGCCAGCGAAGATCAGCCTCTGTTGATCTGGTGGAATCCCCTCCTTGTCCTGGATCTTAGCTTTCACATTGTCAATTGTATCTGAACTCTCAACTTCCAAGGTAATAGTCTTTCCTGTAAGAGTCTTCACAAAAATTTGCATGCCGCCTCGGAGACGCAACACCAAGTGGAGGGTAGACTCCTTTTGAATGTTATAGTCTGCTAGGGTCCTACCATCTTCAAGCTGTTTCCCAGCAAAAATTAACCTCTGCTGGTCCGGTGGGATGCCCTCCTTGTCCTGAATCTTAGCCTTCACATTATCAATTGTGTCGGAGCTCTCCACCTCAAGAGTGATTGTCTTGCCGGTAAGGGTTTTCACAAAGATCTGCATGCCACCCCTGAGACGAAGGACAAGGTGCAGGGTAGACTCTTTCTGGATGTTGTAGTCAGCAAGGGTGCGGCCATCCTCCAGTTGTTTACCAGCAAATATAAGCCTCTGTTGGTCTGGAGGAATCCCTTCCTTGTCTTGGATCTTGGCCTTGACATTATCGATTGTGTCGGAGCTTTCCACCTCCAGAGTAATTGTCTTTCCAGTAAGGGTTTTTACAAAGATCTGCATACCACCCCTGAGCCGAAGGACAAGGTGAAGGGTAGACTCCTTTTGGATGTTGTAATCAGCAAGTGTACGGCCATCCTCAAGCTGTTTTCCAGCAAAGATAAGCCTCTGTTGGTCGGGAGGGATCCCTTCCTTATCCTGGATCTTGGCCTTGACATTATCAATTGTGTCTGAGCTTTCCACCTCCAGGGTGATGGTCTTACCGGTAAGAGTTTTCACAAAGATCTGCATCTGTTATGTCGACAAGAAACTCAGAATTACTTTATATTTCCCAACATCCTTTGCTTGAACAAAATTATAACTTTCACCCCCCCCCAAAAAAAGCAGAAGTTCCAAAGATTGAATTTGGCATAGATCATACCTACATCTAAAATTCTACAAAACTATTGCATCTTGGCATGTACGCATATAAAAAAATATAAATTAATGAATAATTTATAAATCAATCGAAAATCAAAATCAACAGTATTGTTTCATTCAATGCAAATCAAAGAACATGAACAATAACTATCATAATAGTCCAACCTACCAACTAGATCACACGGTTATGATCAACCAAACAATCACATAAGAAAACTTCCAATCAAAAGAAAGATACCAAGTTCAATTATAATCAGACCCTAAAGAAATATCGGCAATAAACGATGAAACACTTCTACAGTAAATTAAACAGGCAAAACAAAGTGAATTAATGGTATTGAATTCGAAAAAAAATATTACTTTTTTACAAACAGATTCTAAAATTTTATCTCGGAATTGACGAATTGATTAAGTAATCCAAACCAAAACCCTAAATAAAACAAACTAAAATCTATCAAAATTCGACAACAATAAGAAATCAAGAACCGAAAAAGGGGAAATGAATGAAAACAATAGGATAATTACCTTTCGATGGAGAGAGAGAGAGAATTGGAATCGAGAGCTTTGACCAAAAAATTATTAGACGAGGAGAGATTAGATTTGGGCTTTTTGATTTTGATGTGAGAATGGAGGAAAAAGATGATTGATTTATAAGGGAACATTGCCGACTTAATAGAAAAGTAGGGGGAAATTAGTGAAGGATATGAAGCCACGTGTTAGATAGAATTTCGGTTGGCATGGATTACACGCTAAAATTGGTGTTTTCCTTTGACGGTGATATTTTAAAGAAAGGTATTTTGGACGCTGCCGTTTTTGGCTTTTAAAAATGTCTTATTTTATAAATAAATTTAAATAAAATGAAATTTATAATTCATTAATATTTTGGATCAAAACTAATACAAACAAATCCAACCTAACAACTTCATTTATGTACCCAAAAAAATAATATATTTAATTTTATATATTAAAAAATAAAAAAAATTATCATTCATTAATAATTTTGATCAAAATAAATAAAATTTTACTATTATTTAAACTATTTAGTTTTAAGTTAAAATTTTAAAACTATTTCAATAATATAAAATTAAGACTTGCTAATAACAAAATTAGGAGAATAATGAACGTTGAAACAAAATAAGAGATGTCAGGATGCTTGCTGATTATTTAAGAAATTTGAGATGTTTCAACGGTGCATAGTGACGTGGTTTTGATCTTTATATAATCATTAATTTTATTATTTATTTAATTCATCTTTCTTTTTAAGTATATTATTTTTCCAAAAAATTATGTTTTTATTGAATCTTTTGAGTATATTTTATAATTTGAGGGAGTATTGTTCTCCTTTAGGATATTGAATTTAAATATATTATCATATAATCACTTCATACTATTAAAAATATGTATATATTTTATCAAAATTAAACTACATACTCATAAGTCACTATAAAGTACATATATAATTTCAATTTCTCTTTTTGAAAATAAAGTTTATTCTTTTTTAATTTAATTGTTCAATTTTGTATATATATTTTTATTTCTTCAATTTTTATTTGTTTGTCACTATTCACAACTAGTATCTATGGTAAAGTCTTTTTGTAAAAATATTTCAGAAATCAGGTCAATGATTATATATATATAAATAAAAGGTAAAATCCAATTACATAATATAAAAGTCATCTCATAATTGTATCTTTATATAACTATTTATGTTTTTCTCATGTGATTTTTAATTTTAATATTTTATTTAATTAAAGATGATGATTAGTATTTAACTAAGTAATAATATGAAAATTAATTAACTAGATATTAACTCTAAAGTTTTATTCAAAATTGTTGTTCAGTCAATATGCAACACCTAATGTGTATAAAATATAATGAGAACTTTACTACAATAAATAATTTTATTTAAGTAGAGTTATTATAACTAATTATCTAATCAAATAAAGTTATTTAGATCCCTAAACAATTATTGTAAGTTTTATAGTTAAATATCTCACACAATAATTCTAGATTTTTTATGCACCTAAAAGATAGTAGTAATCATATGATTGACCTACAATCATTTATTTTAATCACATAAAATCAACTACTATTCGATATAATAGATTGACATGAGATGAGACAATAAATCTCTTAAATAAAGTTAAAAGTTCGAATAATTATGTTTGCGAATAAAATAAATTGAATTGGAAAAGTCGTTATTACATCAAATGTTTAAAAAGATAATTCAAAGAGAATATATCATCGTGAGAGATTTATAAAATTTTAAAACCAAACAAGTTAGAGACAAACCTAGCTATATATCAAATATAAACATAAGCTAGAGACAAACCTAGCTATATATCAAATATAAACATAAGCTAGAGACAAACCTAACTATATATCAAATATAAGCATGAAACAAAAATAAATAAATAATTTTAATCATTGTTTGAACCAAAATATCAAAAAACTAAATGTTGTTGTACCACAATTAACACATTAAATTGTGTTATTCTTAACCCCAAAAAATTACATCATATCCTTCTTAACAATAAGAAAGTAATATTTCTGGTTGTCAACCGAAAATGTTAGGACTGACAATATCAGGAAAAATGTAAAATTTTAGATTGCGCCCACCCTAAAATATTATATTTTTATCATATTTTCGATTGTGTCCAAAGTTTCTATTTTTAACCTTAAATTAGGATGTCGCTCCTTAGACTTTCCAAAAAAACTCGTTAGAGTAGAATTCTAAAATTTTATATCCCGATAAATTGTTCCTATTACCTTAAATATTAAACCAAATTTTTTTTTGAGTGGAGCTTGGGTGTTATCTATAAACATAAGCAAATCAATTAAGTTTTTTTCTATTACATCATTATTTATCATAGATTATCATGTTAATATTATAAATTATAATATCAGTATCGTAAGCTATCACTTCAATAACATAACGATTAACATTTAATTATGTTGATGAAGGAGTCAAATTAAGTTTTTTTTTCAATTAAAGGTCACGCTGGATATAAATATTTCAAGAATTAGATTATTTCTTTTTGGGAAAAATATGAAATGTTATTGAACTTAAAAAACATAACAAGAGTGCCATGTCACTTGGTGCACTAAATAAGAAACATGCTTATGTGCGCGTGAGAGAGATTATTTATTTTTTATTTTTTTGGAGGAAGTGTGAGACAGAGATTAAGTGATTAACCAATTGTTCGTGTTTGAATTAGTCAACCATGGTAAGAACTAAGAAGAAGCAAGTTTTGAGTAATTGCAACATTTTCCAAGTACCTGCACAACAATAAATAAACTATCCATTATTTTCACTCAATTTATTATATCTTTAAATGAAAAAAACTTTCCATACAAATATAAAAAAACAACCACAACCCTTAACCCTAAATTTATTTAGTAATATCAATAGTTAAATAAAATATTATTTTTGTTATAAGTCATGGATTTGAATAACTGCGTCTGTAAGATGTGTAAGTTGTCAATAATTAAGAATGAATATGAACATATACTATCTTATAATCACATCAAACTATTAAATAAAGTATTAATAACTACAAATATTAACACATATAATATTTGTTTAAAATTTTAAAATACCAAAATTTGATTGTACTTCAAAGTTCCCATTAAATTACAGTTATCTATCCAAATTTGAAAGAGCATGTTACACCTAATCAAAACTCAATTCTATGTCCAAACTTCAACTTTGCTCGATTTAATAATAAATTCATTTATCCCTATATAAGCTAAAGTATGCAAAAAAAAAAAAAACTAGAATCAAGGTGAATTATTAATCGATTAATTTTAATAAAAATTTTGTAAGAATTTACTTTTAAAATGATTATTTTTTTATTTTTATATATTAAGGTATTTAGCACGAACCAACTTATTATAGTGATTAAAAGAATCGTTGTTGTTCCTAGATGTCATGGATTCGAGCACCAACAACTGCAAAGATGATTGAGCGTTCATTGTTAAATGGTTAAAACTATTTTTAAAAAAATATTATTTTATAATTAGCTTAGCTTAATAAGAAAAAAAATATTAAGACATTTTTACATCGATAAATAATTGATGTAATATTTATTCACAATCTTATTTAGTTATAAACAATATAAACAACCTATTTTAATACTGAGTCACCCTATTAATTCAGATGGTTAATAGTGTTTAGAGTAGTATAGTATTTATTATAAAAACATATGGAACTTAAAACTTTATTATTATTTTATAAGAAAAAGCTAGGAAAAGGCAAACATATATTTATTTATAATATGCTTTTCAAGCAACATCTCCTTTTAGGTTTTAACCCATCATTTCTTTCTGATAAATACCCTTTGCAGAAACCAATCATCAGTCACCGGAAAACATGACGGATTCCGGCGGAGGATGTTGCAGATGTTGCTGCAGCTTCGTCTTCACTTTGGGTCTGACAGCACTTTTCATGTGGCTAAGTCTACGTACTTCGAACCCCAAATGTTCCATTGAAAAATTCTACTTGCCTTCACTTAACAAAACCTTAAACACCCCAAACGATACCACCTTAAACCTCACGTTAAAGCTAAGCAATCCCAACAAAGACAAAGGGATTAAGTACGATCCGGTTAACGTCACAGTTTTCGATTTTTCTAATAGAAGCCATGTCATAGGCAAAGTTCTGGTGCCGCCGTTTTACCAGGGTCACAAAAAGAACGCTAAAAAGGACTGTACGGGGATCGCTAACACGACGGTGGCTTTACGGGCGGTAGACGACTACGGAACGGGGGTTTTCCGGGTGGATATGTCGACTTCGGTGAAGTTTAAGATCATGTTCTGGTATACAAAGAGGCATAGGATAAGGGTAGGAGCAGATGTGACGGTCAACGCTAGTGGTATTAAGGTTAACAAGAAAGGGATCAAGCTTAAGTCTATGGCACCACCAAGGATGGGTAGTTTTTGTGTAGTGATGGGAGCTTCGTTGAATCTCTTGGCCTTCAGTTTGCTTAATTTTTGGTGAGTTTTTTTGGGTTTTTTTCCGCAATGTTCTTTAGCATATTTTCAGATCTTGTATTTGCAGAAGTAGGGTACAAAGATTGTTAATGTATTGATTTAAGAAAAATTGCTTAGTGAAGTATAGTGATTCTTCAAATTTCTTGGCAATCGAAGCCATTGATGTTCTGTTTCTGAGATCAAGAAATTTAGCAGTAAACTTTGAAGATTTGGTTCTTGCTTATTATGTTTCTGCAATGAGTGGTTCATATTTGCTCAAGATATTTGCTGCTATTTGTTCCCAGTAGACCCACTTGAATTGTGTAATAATTGGTTCAAAATAATAATTTCAGTAGGGAGAAAAACAGGGATTTCCTGGAAATTTCCCAGGTTGTTGCTTAAGAGAGATTTCACATGAGGGTTCCTTGTAAGTTTACTTGGTCTTTTTTTCTGCTATAAAAAAAAGACTTTTACTTGACCTGGCAAAACTTCAAAACAATGGAATCCAATGCTGTTGTTGGTCTTTAAATATAATTCAGATCAGATCATGTTTTGTCGTAATGTAGCAAGTTTAAAAGATTGTTGTGATTTAATTAATCTCCAGCAAAAATGTAGCAAGTGTTGTCAAATTTCTGGGTTTTACCAGTGAAGAGTATGCTTCACCATGAACCAAGGATATTAAGAAGTGTTCAAATACTTAGATTCGGTCTCTCACTGAATTGAATTAGTTAAAATCAAATTAATTAATTTTTTAAATTATTAATTGAACATAAATAATTTTAAGAATAATTAATCGAATTGAATAAAGTTTGGTTAATTTGATCGTTGACTAAATTAATCAAACTTTTTTTTTAAAAAAAACTAGTTATATTAGTTTGAGTTTAATAAAGATATATTTTTTTTCATTTTGATTAAAATTTAATTTGAAAATCTAATGAGTTTTATATGATTAAAAAATAAACGAGTCTTAATTCTTAACAAGTTTGAGCTTAATATATAATATACAATATACTAATATTTAATATTTTTGTTAATTGGATTAATTAACTGATTTTGAACCTTATTAACATTTATTCGAACTTTGAAAAAGTTATTAATCGTTAGTTGATCTAACATCTAATTAATCGATCAATTAATCGAACTAAACTTTGATTTAATCGGTTACTTCAGTTAAAACAAAAAATGAACACCCTAAATATATCAATTCATTGTCCGAATCTTGTTCCATATAGGAATTGATAGAAGGAGGGTAGGTGAGGACAATCACCCTCTAAAAATTTCAAATTCAATTTTTTTATTAATAATCTATTTTTACCTTCTAAAAATTTTATTAATTCATATCTTCTAATATTTAAAAAGTCTACCCTGTCTTAAAATCTTAGGCGGGTTGATTCCACAGGCAATGGACTAAGATCTCCCCACCATCGGCTTCTCGGGTGCTTCTTGAACTATGCTCTTTCCTACAGGCAATGTATTGGTGGATGGTTACTACAAACAGAGTTGGCTAAGTTCAGTATGTGCTCTCGGCATTCTCCTACAACGCATCCGGATCGTTCTCAGTTTCCGGCTTCTACACTGACATAAGCTGCAACTCTACCATCCGATAATTATACAAGAATGGATTGAGGGGAAATGGGGTAATCGTCATTGAAAATTTAAAATTATTATATATTTTACTTTTTTTATTTTTTATTAAAAATTTGATTCGTCACATAACATTTTATTAGTTCGTTTATTTTTAAAATTTTAGAAATTCGTCCCCTAACATAAAATCTTATAAAACCCGATCTGAATTAATCGATAAATATATCTGATAGCTGTGATTAATTCAAAAAGACTAAGATATAACCATAAAAAACTTCTAATTATGGTTAAATCCGGAATGGTGATAAAAGATGGGGTAAAACTATTTATTTGGTCACTCATCTATTATTTAGTTTTTGTTTTGATCATCCTATTATTATTATTAAAAGATTAACGATGATATTGACGTAAAGTGGTTTCAGTTTTTTTAGAATTCGAAGGTTAGGGTCTTGTCTAAGGAATTAAATTATGGTTGCGGTTGTACTTTCAATTGTATTGTGTTTATCGCGATTGTGGCAATAGTATGTGATATTTTGTTCATTTAAGGTGTTGCGGTTGTACAATAACGGCCGAATGTTTATTTGTGCTGATATTGTGAAATTGAGGGACATGGGTTTTAGTTCTGGACAGGTTCATCACTCGGATCTCCTTCTAATATTTGCAGAGCCACCGACGAATCATCTATTCATAGGCGTCATTGTTGAAACTTCATATTTACTTATGGCTATCAATCTAATTCAAGAGAATGAAAGATTGAGCTATCATAGGATCATTTGAGCCATTTGTCTACCTTTCTTCACCATATTTGACCTGAATCTCCAGTTTCACATCATCTAATTGCGGATTCTCAAGAACATCTTCAGGGTTGATGAACTTTTGTCTATATGCGATGTTTAATTCTATCAAGGTGAAGTGCTTCGAGGAATAAACAATCAACTAGAAAAAGTGCATTTAACAACATAGATGAATGTATAAATCAATCAATGTAGTTTATATATATAGAATTGCAGGTTTTGTTTAAACGTGTATAAGAAAAATTGTCGTTATCTTCTTCAAGATACAAAATTGCAGATTACACAGATAATCACCTCCCTTTGATGCTTAACTAAGCTCATAAACTCACAATTGTATTTATATATCTGTTCCTATATACAGAGAGAATTGAGTAAAAACTATATGATGCCACCCCAAGTTTTACAACAGAGAATGGTAAGAAAATTGCTCTGTTTCACATCTGTCCTCGCATGCTGCACCAGTTAGCTCTGCATACTATCTAGTTTCAGCCGTCTCTTGAACACCTTCAAGGGCAAATAACTCTTATAACTCAATCATCACATCCACATCATCAGGCATTCCCAGGTGCAAAAAGCTATAATCTTTTACCCCTCCCAAGGTTCCACCTGCATAAAATTTAAGACCCCTATGTCATGTTTGGTACATAAGTAATAACATAAGGAAAAGGCTTAATTATTACATGAGTTTCTAAGTAGTTTGTCATAACATGAAGAAGAATTAGTACAAATATAAGCTTGAAGTTACAAAGATGCATAAAAGTTCAGGTAAAAGTAATACCTATTCAAAATAAGTAATATTTGTTCCTTCTCTTTGTTCAATCTAAGTTATGTGACTATGTAGGTTGAATCCAAGGATCACCTTATGGAGTCCACCGCCGATGAACTGGGTTAAAGTTAGTTCTGATGAGGCTAGAAACAAAGAACCTGATTTTGTTTTTTGCGGAGGTGTGCTGCGTAACTCTGAAGGTGCATGGCTTCGGGGATTCTCAAAGTTTATCGGCAGTTGTTCGATTGATGACGCCGAATTATGGGGGATTCTAATTGGACTTATGTGTGCTTGGGACTATGGTGCTTCTCAAGTGATCATGGAGTGATAGCTTGGAAGCTAGTTGAATGATTAAGCATTACTAGGATAGTTGCAAAAAAACAAAAGATCGAGGCGCATATTTTTGTTGTGTTAGAACGGAACTGGCAGGTGGATTTCCAGCATGTTAACTGTGACGAAAACCGAGTTGCGGACGCGTTGGCAAAGCTTGCTCAAGGTTATGAGTTGAATTGTTTGTGGTTCACCAATCCACCAGATGCTCTGGGGCCGTTACTACAGGGAGAGAGTGTTGCGGTCCATGCCTCTTAATTGCTAGTGTTGTTTTATCTCTTGTTTACCAAAAAAAAAATATATTATAAATATTATTGTTGTATAAAATATGCTCCTTAATTTTGTGCATGATATCAGTTTAGGTTAACGGTTCCTTTAAACCCTAGCCATATGACTACCAAAACATCCTCCTAGACTAGTTTAGGAGTCACAATTAATGTCTCCAAGACTGATTCCTCACTACCAAGCATTATTATTGCATCCTCTGACTCCAACACAATTCTGGCAGCTGCTATTACTAAAAAAAATTAGAATTAGTCACCACTTTTGATTATGAATTAAATAAATTTTTGTTTAGAAAAAACTATGATTAAATAAAGTCTTATGATTTCTTAAAATTTGATTGTGATTATTTAAATAAAAGCTTATTTAGATTATATTTAAAAAATAGTAACTCATTTAATTTTAAGAAACAAATAAATTCTGATTTAAGCCTTTAGAATGTCGAATCATATCAACAATGAATTATTGTCACGTAAAATATTAAATAAAAAGGAAAGTCTTAATCCATGGAGTCCTTTTACAAGTAAATATTAGGTATACGGCAACTTGACGCCTTGGCCATATAGCAAGTGGTATTTGGGTCTAAAGTTCGGGTTATCATGTAATAACCAACATATAACACACAATAAGTGGGACTGGAATTGTGGAAACAAAGGATGAATATAATACAATTTTACTATTACATTAACACATAACTTTGTGATTTTAAAGGGCCTTGAGCTACAAATTCTCCATTTATCGCTCTTTGATTGGGCTCAAAACAATACATTTTATTGCCCTCTTGAGCAGGGAGGGTCAAAATATATGAATCTCATGATATTTGATCCGACTCGATTTTATAGGGATGAGTTGTTTTTTTAATTTTGGAGTTCAGGGCAAGATGGTGTCGATTATAGAGTATATAATTTCGGGGTGGGTAGGGTCAGATTTAAGGTGAAAAAAACTGACCTAACCTTATCCAGTAATTTATCATTATATATATATATATTTAATATTTAATATCTTAGAGATTTTAATTATATATTGTTAAAATATATTCTTTAATTATTAAAAACAAATATATTATTTTAACAATTTAAAATATAATAAATAATTATAAATATATTTTTATAAAATATATTATTTAAATATTTTAAAATATTAATATATTTAGATCAGATCGGGTCAGATCGAGGTCAGACTGGAGAAAAATTAAAATTCATTAGAACGGAACGATATAAGGTATAATATATATATTTTCCGATCGGAGTCGGGTGGCCAAAAAACCAGCCAGACCAGTCGTTCCCATCCGTACCCTTGAGGTACAAATTATAATACTAAATTATTAACTTTTGGCTTGTTTAAATATTAAATATATTATCCGATCTAAAATAGTCGATCAATAAATTATATATCAATGATTAATTTAAAAAATTAAATATATTAATTGAAAACCCAAAATATTAAAGAATACACATTTTATAATTATACTTGGGAATCAAGAAACTTGTGAAAAGATACAGATAAAAGCTTTAGAAAAATAAATTCCAACCCAATTCAGCATTTTGATTAGGGAATTAGT